AATTTTTTACTCAAATACTATCAACTTTACAGAAAAACAGCAAGAGACAAATATTGTCTTTTTTTTCTTTTCATAAAGCTCTAGGAATTTTGTTAGAATTTTTTAGTACCATATTTTCTCATTTTGGTAAAAATAGTTGTTAATAAGAAAATGCAGTATTAAAAGGTTGATAAAAAATTCTGAAAAGATTTCTAGAGCTTTATGAGAAAAAAATAAATAATTTTTGTCTCTTGCTGTTTTTCTGTAAAGTTGATAGTACTTGAGTAAAAAATTCTTGGGGTACATTCCAAAACTGTTATTGGAGGAAACGGTAGGTAAATGAGCGAAAATACCCGAATGCACACGAGGATATGAGAGTAATTCGTTTTTTGGAACGCTTTACGATAGAATTGAGAGGATAAAAGGGAAACGTTCGAAAAGCAGAAACTGGTTATTGTATATAACTGATAATGACGCGACGAAATATTTCACTCGGTTTTGTACTATCGCTTCTTCGTAACACGTCTGTTATTGTAGAAGAGAGTGACGATGATGATGAAGAAATGATGACATTGTTACTCGTTGAAAAAATGTCTCATCTACGTGGATCTTTATTCGCTCCGCCTAGGTTGGAAGGCTTTTTTGAAGAAGTTGTACCCAGATACACATTCCGACAATTTAAGTCACATTTTAGAATTACTCCTGCAACCGCTAATGATCTCGAAAATAGATTAGCCCCATTATTGTGTGTGTGTGTGTGTGTGTGTGTGTGTGTGTGTATTAGAGTCAAAGTGTACACTCTTTTCTTTTTTAATCAATGTATACATTCATGTAAAATTTATTATAGTAAATATATACATTGACTATAGCAAACAGTAGTTGTATACATTTGCTAAGTTAACGCTTTGACTGTGGCATATATATATGTATATGTATAATATTTATTATGTTGGATGAATACTAATATATATATTATGCTGCATAGGTCAATGGAAGTACAATTTGGAATAGGTAAAGCCTCATTGCATCGTTATTTTCTACGTGTAATTCATGCTCTACGTGATATTTCCTCTGAAGTAATTTGTTGGCCAGAAGGCAATAATATAAATAGGATAAAAAATGAGTTCAATGCAAAGGCTAACATGCCTGATGTTATTGGTGCGATTGATGGCTGTCACATAGAAATAGAAGCTCCAAAGGTATACAAAAGTTGTATTATTAAAAAAATTAACATTATAAAGTTTTTGATTAAGTAGCATAAGTATTTATATTTAGTTTGGTGCTGCTTCATATCGCACTAGTAAGAAAAAATATGCTGTCCAACTTCAAGCAATTTGCGACGCATCCTTAGTTTTTACAGACTGTTTTGCTGGCTATCCAGGAGCAGTCCATGACGTTCGTGTGCTCCATAATTCTCCATTATATAGAGACGCAATGAGAAATGAACGTGCTTTGTTTCCTAATGGAGAGTATCTTGTTGGAGATAAAGGCTATCAGCCAGTAAGAACATGGCTTATAACACCTTATAGAGATACTGGTGCTTTGACTCAAGTATGCTAATATCTTTTTATTATTTAATGTAAGCGATTATATTTTATCCTTTCCTCGTCCGGATATACTTATTAACAGTTTTTCTATTTATAGGCTCACAAAGATTTCAACAATATTCTATCAAGAACTAGACAAGTAATAGAGCGTGCGTTTGCTCTTCTGAAAGGACGTTTTAGAAGATTGAAACATTTGCACATGGATCTTATTAATGAAATCCCTTGTACAATTTTAGCTTGCTGTGTACTACATAATTTATGCCTACAAGGATTTCATGATAATGAAGAAGATCTTCAAGAATATATTAGAGATGGAGAAGAAATTGACAACGATCTTTATGTACAGGAACAAAATTTGAAGAACTCGTAATTCATAATGATAATAACGTTACAGCTGGCCAAAGAAAGCGTAATTAAAGGATAGATTAACTTAATTCGAAGCACTTTATAAACACATCCAAGTTAGTTTATTTGAATAATATTCAATGTAACAAATTAAATAAAATTAGTTTTAAAAAAAATATTTAAGAATCAGTCTTTTATTTATAAAAAAAGTACATTTCCTGTCTTCGTATACATATAATATACCATCTTTTTTATAGTAACCAAACCTTTAGTAGTAGTCAAACAACATCTTAATTCTAAACGTTATTTATAAAATTAATAAAAAATAAAAGTATAATTAACAAAAGTATAATCTTTAGCAAAATAAAATTCAGAAAAAAATAAACAATATCGCAAATGTTGCATATCATGTAAATGCATATACATATATAAAGAGTACATAATTTTAAAAAAGGAAGTTAAGTGTGACTACTTTACATTTGGTATTATTTACTTTACGTTTAAAAATAAATTATTTAAGATAATTTGTCCAATATTTTTGTCAAGAGATCATTTTGTGCTTTTATTTGCTCTTTTTGTAAAGCCAACACTTCTTCGTGACGTTTTTGTCGTGCTTCTTCTTTGAAATCAGCATCCTTGCGAAAAATATCGATCTATGTATCAAGCTGCTTTGAGTTTCGACTTTTTTTCTTTGGTACATTTTTTTCTTCTGAATCTGATTGTGAGAAAGATTCGCATTCAGAAATATTTTTCAGTATTCGATTAGAAGCAAGTGCTGGAGGATTGACAGAATGTGATTTGCTATAAATATCATGAAATTCCTTAAAGTAAGGACATGTATTCTCAGCAGTTCCAGACTCCTTATTTTTGTCTACTGTCTCTATATATACTTTTTTAAGATACTTCCACTTATCTTCACACTGCAAGTGAGAAAAATAATATCCTTCTTTGGCCAAAGCGTCTGATATATCCTGCCATATTTCCTCATGGCGTTTAGAATTGCTATTCATTACATGCATATTTGCTTTGTAGTGATGAATAAGACATAAAATGGCAGGATGTTTCCACGAAGCTGCAAGTAAAATTTTAAATTTACAAAATCTTGATGCTCACGTGGCATTTTATACAATACAATAAACAAGAAATACAAAAACGTTTGTATACCTTGGGGAGTATCTACAGTTTTTCGGCGTTTTGTTTTTGGAAGTGTTACTTGTACTTGAGATCCTGCATTATTATTACTTTGTGAAAGTACTTTTTCATATGGTTTATCCGTATTCAAAACATTGGTTTCTATTGGATTACTAATATATGGAGGTTGAGAATATTGCTTGTCTGTTAAAGCAGAAGATTGCACACGATTTATTGAAGTTGATGGCAATTGTACAATCAAAGATGGTGGCTGATTTTTCGTAACACATGATGATTCCTGTAGCGGTTTATTAAGTAAGTTGAAATCTGTTTGATTTATCATAGTTGATGAATGCTGCTGGAACTCTAGTGGATAAAGCAGATTGTACTTGACTTTTTATGTTTTTAAAAGAAGAATGTTGCAAATTATATATTTTACGAATATTTAGGGAATCCATAATTCTGAAAGTTTTTCCTGCTGTAAAAAGAAAAAATATAATTTAGAAATAAAAAATACTACAATATATTTATTATTGGATAAAACTATGCATTGAAATATATACACTTACAAGCTTTTTCAACCAGTAACAAATGTTTATCAGCTTGGACTGGTAATCGTTTTTCATCACAAATAATAGTAGTATAATAAACATTATATGTTTCAGTTATGGGTATATCACAGAAAGGTGCGCAGTGGTTTATATCGAGGTTATATGCATTTCTAACTTGAATTACATCAGGAATTACATCTTTAATAAATGTATTTCCTGTATACATAATTTGATAAAAAATAATGTTGAATAATGGCATAGTATTTAATGACGTAGTACATAAATGATACACATAACTACATATAAATAAATATATATGATACTCACTTATCTTATTGTATAAAAATATATGCCCTTTGCCTGCTTCAACAGGATAGTTATTATTAGCACTTATTACAGGTACGTCGCTCTCTATGTTAATTTGAAAAACAAGTGGGATGTTCTCCATTTTATTATAAATTAAAATCTGATTCACTTTAACCTTGTGCTTATAACCTTGTTTCATTCTCATAACGTATAATGTCACGTGTTCAACCTATCTACTTTTTCCACCAATCATCACAATTTACTCGTAGTTCCCGCACACAAACGCAGGTGAGAATTTTACTCGATGGAGGAAATACGAAGACTTTCTTACCAGTTTTGGAACAGCTCCGAATGATGAACGAGAAACCAATCGGAAACGTTCGCAATGTTTTAGAACGCCAATGAACAAAATTTTTCTCGAAGAGGAAGTTTTGGAATGTACCCTTGAAAACTAATATTTTAGTAATTAATATCCTGTTTGTCATGGTTTACATAGTCCGCGCCGATGTGGTGGCGCTGTACGATAAGTTGGCACGACTGTGAGGGTCGTCGCTCTCGCATGTTGATCTAATCGGTGCACACATGTTGTACGACTAATAATACATATCGCAGACTATAAAAGTACGTTGTCTTTATTAGTTCCTTCTTCACCACGTCACAAACGTGACATGGCGCAGTCGGTAGGACGAGTGTCCTCAAGAAACACGATACACGGTAATTAATAACAAAGAACACACACGAGACTCAAAAAAAAAAAGAAGAAGGAGGGCTCAAGTAAGAAATCCGCCATTACACGACGCAATAATATATACATGAGACAATGGAAGTGACGGAGGAATCTTCTACGATAGTGAACTTAAGCATCAATTAGAAAATAATTATTTAAAGTTACCGAAAGAAACATCAATTTTAGTAAAAGATTTTAGATTACCTTATATCATAGTAGCTGATGAAGCTTTTGCTTTGACTTCATATATGCTGCGTCCATATTCTCGATCTTGTAATTTAAATGAAAAAAAAAGTATTTACCGATTAAGTCGTGCTCGGAGAGTTATTGAATGTGCTTTCGGTATTTTGACATCGAAATGGAGAATCTTTCGAAGGCCAATTGCAACAAGTATTAATAATGCAATTCTAATTGTTCAAGCAACTGTTTGCTTACATAATTTCTTGATATTAAAAGATTTAAATCTTTCCATAGAACAAAGAACATACTCAGTAACTCCTCAAGAAGATCCAAATAGTAATCAAACATTATGCAGTTTTGAAAATAGTGTAGAAAATGATACATTTAATGGAACTACTGTCAGAGATTTATTTGCACATTACTTTTATACAACTGGAGCTATAACACAATAGTGGACAAAGGCTTATAATAACGATTTTTAAATAAAATGTCGAAAACATTAATTCTTTTATTATTTGTTCTATATAAGTACCTTATACATGTATGGATAGACTTTTATTCCTTTTTTAGAAACTAAAATGATCTTAACTTAGAATTATACTATCTTCAGTCTTTTTTTTTGTTACATCCTCAATCACATAAATCATATAATTACATAAATCATCACATAAATCACATAAATCAATATATAGTTTTAATGCTTTCATCTGTTAAACAAAGTTCTTTATAGTCGCTAGAAGGTTTTCGGGTTATCGCCGTGTTTCTTCATTCTTGATGCCAATGTTTTGTGAACCATGCTGTCCCCTTGTAGATATCTATTTTCCTCACTAAATATTTGACGAACCCAAATTCTTTTTTTTATTAATCTTTCTTATTTTTCTTTGTAAATATTTGTATAATAAAATGGCTTTAATTAATTCTTTTCTTCGAATTTGCTTATGCCAACTTAGTTGTTGACTACTTTTCCATTGCTTTATTTTAGTTAATAGGTGTACTTTCATTATATCCAAATATGTTTTATCCTTTACCATGTCCTTGAAATTAGCGACACAGTGAGATATGACGTCAAATTCTGCAACAAGCATTTATTTATACACATGTATTTTGCATCTTGATAGATAATTTAGGAAATGCGACAATTTAATAACCTTAAAACATACTTCGTTCGTATATATGTACACAGCACACATGCATAGAAATAATAGATAAACTTACTCTTATCTTCCACGCACGATTGGAAAATCGTTTTAATATCGGGCACAAATGTCTTAAATAAATCCACGTTTAATTCCACACAATGTTGGATTTCTCAACAATATTCCACTCAATTCCGCTACGGATGCGAAAGAATTGTTTTACCATGGGGAACCCGGGTGTGAAAAAGCGGAACGGAATCATTCTGATTGGTTAATCCCCACTCTGCTTCCTTTCCGTTACTGTTCCGTTCCGCTATTTCTTTCTCCATCGGGACGCACCCTAATAATACATATCGCAGACTATAAAAGTACGTTGTCTTTATTAGTTCCTTCCTCACCACGTCACAAACGTGACACTGTTAACTATTGCGAAAATTACAAATTATTGCAGTCATATTTATACATATGTATACAATATGACTTGTTTTAAATAAATAATATGTGTATTTTAAAAGGATATTTGATAATTCTTCCGACAACGTTCGTGAATAAGAAAAAGCGCACTAAACTGAGTCGAATCGAGTCCTTTACCATTTTGTAATTTTCGCAAGCCGTTATACGCAGATTTAATCCGTGTAAAAGTAAAATGCAAATATTTCGAATTATAAAATACATATTTTACATAACGGCACAATAACATCTATTGTAGATTTCATGGTTTAATTCCGTTTAAAATATGCGTATAACGGCTTTAATGTACACTAATGTGCACTAGTACGTTCAACCGAATTCGCTATTAGTTTCGTATGTAATGAGCGAAAAAGAAAGATAGAATAAAAATTACAGCGTGTCGAGCGCCTCGTTCGAACGAATGCCCCTTAGTTTTGCGACCTGCAACCCGCGTTCTGCGTCTTATGGAGAATGGCCTTTATGTCTACGAGCGCCTCAGTACATTCCTAAGCGTTGAACGGCATTTGGATTGCGCGCGAGACGGTGCGATGAGGGGGATAGTGGGAGGCGGAGCCGACTCGAAAATCGGCCGAAATGTGCATTTCGTGCCGAGTCCTGATCTATATTTCCAGTGCCGACACCAGCAAAGAGTAATTTTTATTATGTCAATCCCATTACTGAAGAAAAACAACAAGAAAAGCGGAATGAAGGAATCAGTACTGTGGCACCAGAACAAAATCTTCTTTAGCGTCCTGTTTCTATTCCGGATGCATGTGTGTCGCAAAATCTGATAGCACACAATTCACAAGATGTAGCAAACGGACGTAACTTACAGTTACAAACTTGGGCTGGAATGATTAGCGATTTAAAGAATCTTACTCTTCCGTCAGAGTACTGGATTCCTGTTTTTCAAGAAGAGTTCGCATTGTGGACATGCTGGATTGATGATCTATCTGTTTGTCAGTGGAATGTCATACTTGCAAAAAATATGACATATCGTGTAAGAATCTACAAGTTATATTACAAAGTTATGAATATATATATATATACAGGGTGGATCATCTGAAGTGATCCAGTCAAATATCTCGAAAACTAGTAGGGATAGAGAAAAATGTTTCGTATGAAAAGTTTAGGGTTACACGGGGGAAGTATGGTACTGACCTTGAAAAATCCTTGGAGGTCATTTTGAAGGTCATTCAGGGGTCAT